ACCATTAAACAATCAGGAATTTTTCATCACAGCCACGATGATTGCATCCTAGATTTGCAGCTTATTCTAAAAATAAAAACGAATTTTTTAAAGAATCATTTATGCTACTTTCCCTTTAATGCTTCATATTACTTATTCAATTTTGAAAAACCCAACCTGTAATTAGCCGCTATCCTTACTCACAAATGACTACACAAACACATATGTGACACAGGAATAAGTCTTGGGATGATTATTTCTCCGGCTTTTACATCTGCCTTCGAGTTTCAAGTGAGTGACAGGAAGCGCTGACATGAAAACAATCGACACGGCGATACGAGAACATTTCATTGCAGCATTTTGCTCTGTGGAAGCTCACTGACTGTCAATGCGAACGCAAGTGAAGAGTAGCAAATGATATCTGAAAGAGGATAATGAGCGCTTGCTGCTTCATCGGCTGTGTGCAGAAAAACTCAAAGAAGGCAAAGTTAAAGGTGAGCCAACACGCAGGGTTGAAAAAAAAATAGGAATACAATATATTCAAGAGGGTAAAGGAGGAAAAAAAATTACTATTCTCTGCTGTATCAAACTGAGGCAAAATGAGACCGAGGAACTGTTAGGGAACAGCTTTTGATTCTTGAGAACAAAGCTGGACCTTTTGCACTTTCCTCATCATCACTAATTAAACAAATGTTAGTGTGCGTTTGTGTGTGTGTGTTGCATTATGTGCAAAAAGGGAGATTACTGCAAGCATAACGTAGGAATAGATGTGCAAAATGAAGGAAATTCAGTTTTAAGCAGGAAGGAAAACAGTATTTTAATGTCCACAGATGAATTCATAACTTATCATAAACAAGATGTTTCAATACAAGACTTGGTGACACAATTAAATAAGAAAGGGAGGAGATAAGAATGTTATCTAATAATCAGCTGCACAATTTAACAATTTCTTGATCACTAATTTGCAATCAGAAATTAGTTTTTGATGGGATTCACATTACTTATATCACACAGATGTTCGTGTGCCTGGTGGGAGCACATCAGCGGGTCCTCTATCCTCACTGACGGTCTTCTCGGAAGTTGCATGGACAGACACTTTGACATAGTCACCACCTCCATCATTCCTTTGCCCTTTGCTTGAAAGCAGTGCCTGCTCCTCTGCATCCTTGTCGGGGTTGGGGGGGGCAGTAATCTGTCTGTTCCCTCTCGCCACAGTCGACTCTATGTGTTCTGACGCAGGGTTCCCGGTCTCCCCCGTCTCCCCCGTCTCCTCTACCACCGCCCGGCAGTTTAGGATGAGTGGCGGCAAAGGCACGCTGCGGGCCAGCTCCTCGATGTGACGGGCAAACTCCATAGTTTTGAACTGCGTGACCTTGGCGAGCTCCACCGTCTTGGCTGAAGTGACAATGGGGATGCTCTTGGCAACCTCGAATGCCTTCTGCAGCTTCTCTGTGCCCTCTGTCCGGAAGAACTCATTGATGACCCTCTCCATCTCCTTGAGGTGGCTGCTGACCATGCACAGGCGGGCCACGTTGAGGATCATGGTGATGGTGAAGGCCACCAGGCACACAACGACGAAATGCAGCCCCAAGCCACTGTCAGAGTAGGCAACGCGAAGAGTCACCGTGTAGTTTTGGGTGCCGCCGCTGGCGCTCGAGGCAACGCAGGTGTAGCTGCCGCGGTCCTCAAACAAGACCTCGGTGATGTTCAGGATGCCTTCCTCTTGAATCTGCCACCTTCCACCTGCGGCAATAACGCACAACATATTTTTACTTTTACCACAAAGTTTCTCATTAAAACGTTCAAATCTCCTTCATCTCCTTAATCAGCAGCATTACCTAAGGCAATTTGTCAAAGACAAGAAATAGAAGGCAGTCATTCTTTTTCTCCAAACTCGAATCAGTACACATCTCTGTCACCTGCTGACAAATAGTTCAGCAAGTCAACCAGAATGACAATTTCTGGATTTCTTTAGTATTTGAAAATTAAAATACCTACAGAGACCTTTTGGTGACATGGTAACAAGTGTACAAATACAGAAGGTGGTTTTATTCAATGCCAGCGTCCTGGGTCTACAATTATTTAAATACAACATCGTGTAACACATTATAGCACATCGGGATGTTAAAATTCATGGAAGTCCAATTATTAAAATGGCAGCATGAGTTAGGTTTGCAAAGTTACATCTGAACAGACTCAAAGACTTCGGGAACAATGTCCTTTAGACAGACAAGGCCAACGTGGAGGTGTTTGGCAATAATACCCAGCATCATGTTTGTGCTGATAAGCTGTATTTGATTTTTGTTAAACACCTCACACTAACTGTTTGCTAAAGGCCAACTGTTTGACAGCTAAAACTAGGCCAAAACTGGCTCATGCAACAGGACAATGATCCTAAGCACAGCAGCAAATCCACAAGTTGCACAGGCCCGGCCAAAGTCCGGACCTCAACCGGACTAAACTGCTATGAACGGACCTTCAATTTATTTCTGTTAAAGGTGGTTCAGCAAACTACTGAATCATGAGATGTACTTAATTCATCACACACTGCTTCTGCAGTTTGTGTTAGATAAATAATGATACAGTGTGTCACATAGTGTAGGCCAGCAGGGGGTTTTCTACGGAAGAGGATTAGGGCCACTAAGTGGGTACGTCTTTTTTTTTTCTTTTTTTTTTTTCTTCTGAGAAAAAAGTCAGAATTCTGACTTTTTTCTCAGAATTCTGACTTTAATCTCAGATTTTTTTTCCAGTGGCCCTAATCCTCTTCCGTAGTTTTCAGTGTCTGAACACACAAAATGTTATATATGAAATGAAGCATACTTCCTTTTTCCACATACTGTTTGTGACTAAAGTATTATTCATGGTAAAAACAGTAACAATGATTGACTAAGTGATTGAAATGCTGGTTGAAAGGCAGTGCTTATGTGTCTTACTTTACATAAAACCTTTTTTTCACTTTCAGAATTAAATGCCACTGAAATATCAGCACGAGCACTAACTCTGAAAGTATGTTTTTCAGTTCATTTGATTGCTTTCAGATAAAAAAAAAAAAGCCATGCAGGACAAAAAGAACTCGAAGCTGATCAAAATCTCGCTGCTTCATTTCCTCGTCCTACCTGCGTCGTCACCCTGCAGGGGTCCTTTAGAGTTGTACCAGCTGATGTTATCACGGGTCCCGGTCACGTTACACGTAATCAGCATGCTCGACCCCTCCTTCACCACGATGGGTGGGATGCTAGCCCGCTGCATTGAGGTCACCACCTCTGACCCATTGTGAGCTCCACCTGCTTTCCAGCAATTGAGCAGTAAGAATGTGGCGAGCCAGTGAGAGAGGTGAGGATTATGAGGCAAAAACATGTTGAAAAGAGCCACAGGTTCAGCTCACATTGGGACGAGACAAACCTGCAAAACAGGAAAAGTCAACGGTCAAATCTGATGTAGCGTCATATGACAACAGGCCCTTAGCTCTTTAGTGTCTTTATAATATGTACGCCTGCATTTCACAAATTTGAATGTTTAGTATATTAGTATTTTATGCAGTAATCATCAGGACATAAAACCTTTACAGGACAATTTTAATTAAAAGGAAATCACTTGAGTTTTAATGTTGTGTTTAAGCTCTTCTTCCAGTGAGGTTTTTTTTTTTTGCTTGTTTGTTTGTTTGTTTTTAATCTTTTTTTTCAGAGCACTTTGTTGAATTCTTGATCTCATTTTTCTTCATGTCCCAACATTTAAATTACAAAATCATCACCCTTTTATTTGAATAACATTATAATTTTGCTCTGAAGTCACTTTTAGCTCATTTTTTAAAATCTATCTTTTCTGAACCCTGTGTAAGTGTACTGAAAAGAAATCTCGGTTATAACATTAAGTATACGGCGAACGGGACAGGCGTGAGGCACATTTACAGTGATGCTTAATGAGTGCGCTAAACTAACAATTCAGAATAAATTATCTGAAAAGTGGGCAATTCCTTAATTCGTTTACAGACTGAAAGTATCAGTAAACGGTACTGTGGTGCTATAATACAATGAGTTTTAAACAGAAATATAACATAGGTCAGACACAGCTTGATTAAATAACAAACTGGTTCTTGTTACCGCACTAGCGTCCCAGGCACGATAATGGTTTTCGAACTAAAACCATTCAAATTCCCACCTGTTGCCCACAGAAACCAAGGCAGCCAAATCCACCATCAGCAAGTGGCAAAAAACATCAGATATGTATAGGATTCAGTACCACGTACGAAAGTGACCCAGTTCGGATGTGAAAATATCAGATTTGTGCTGTTCACACCGTCATACCATGATCGGATATGGGTCGCATAGGGTCAAAAAAGTCGGATTTGATGCGCTTTCGCCTGCAGTGTGAAGTTTTACAATTATTTTAGTAATTTACCTTGAAGTGTGCCAGCCAAGGAAGCACAATCCATCCGATCCATTCACTTCCTAGTACAGGTATGAGTGAATGGGCGTGGTTTTCTGTCAACTCTTCCATGCAGGTAGGTGAGATCACGTCACTGTCGCCGATTTATTTATTTTACATTTTTACACGATTTATAAGAAATAATCTAAGTCAAACAGTTTATGTACTGAACGTTTTGTT